ATTATCAGTATCAGTATCAGTATCAGTATCATTATCATTATCATTATCATTATCATTATCATTATTATTATTAGCAGTTGTTGCACAATAAGAACAACAGCTGCACCAGTAGCAACAGTAAGAACTAAAGCAGACTTCTTTAATCTATAATAAGAGTATTCCTTACTAATTAGTCAGAGTTTCCTTACTATAGTAGTCAAAGCATTCCCTGCGAACTGGCTAGAACGCTTAAATGTTGTCGTTGTTATTGCTGTTATTGACTGGGCTTATACAACACGAGATTGGTTAAACATACCTCAATAACATGTTGAGGCAACATATAGTGGACAAATGGGCCAACATCCCCAGACAGTACTGTGCTTCACTTGTCCATTCAATAGGGCAAAGACTAAACGACGTCATAGCTTCTGGGGGCTAATATACAAAATACTAAAAAATATATTTTATTAGTTAATATTTTTCTTTAAATATTTCTGTTTATTAAAAAATATGTATAGGCTTTGTTAAAAAAATATTTTTATTTATATCGAATACCAAAGTTTCATTGTTTATTAACAACTGACATCTAAACTAATTGAAAAATATTTATAATACATAATTTACGCACCAAGCGCAATTACGTTTTTTATTTTTAATAATATCTTTTTAGAGATATATGATAATTGAATTAAGATGTTGAGATATTTGGTCTACATACAGTAATCAACAATTAATTATTATTACAAGAAAAAAATTAAGAAAATTATCTTTATCTTTTACGTTTATAGTGTATAAAATTATTTATTAATTTTACATTTCTATTTGCAATTTATATATTTTATTCATTTTTGGAAACATTAGTTATTTTGTCTGAAATATTTTGTATATATGAAATATAAAAAACGGGTCATCCCATTTATAAATCATGTTTGATATAGCCTTCCAAAACACTCCGTGTACTTCATATTTTTAAAATGTCCTCCTTAAGGCACCGCTCGATGCCCTAATAAAATAAGTATTTTCTATCTATATGACATAGGAGTAATATAATCAGTATTAGTCCACCCTGTATGTATTGATTTAAGACAACATTTATAAATGAATATCTCTAATATAGGAAAACACTAAATATGCAGGTATGTGGATGTAGTGAACAATGGTTAAAATAGTAAACGGTTTATAACATTTTATTTTTAAAAAATTCTTCAATATAATGATTTAACTAACCAAGAAAATGTTACAATACATTACATATCATCAAATAATAATATAATAATAATAAAATAATATTTAAAAATAAATCAAATGCAACTGGTATCAGATTAATTATTTACCCAATCGAATATATCAGTTTTTGGTGCCACGGTGTAGTATATCTCCATATCCCACTCCCAGTCCGAAACATTCCGTAATTATTTGTGGTGGGGCGCGATAGAATGAGAGCGACCCAACTAGTGGGGACTTTAAGTTGCCCTTCATTGTACGTAACCTCAAAAGCTATAATAGTTATAAAGTGTGACCACCATATTTTTATATTTTTTTGGGATTGCGGGGTCCAATTCCGATATCCGTATAACATCAACTGGTTAGGTTAGGTTAGGTTAGGTTAGGTTAGGTTAGGTTAGGTTAGGTTAGGTTAGGTTGGGTTAGGTTGGGTTAGATAGTGACGAGATCGTGTGGCGTCCGCGAGACGAGGGAACAGAAGGGGAGATAAGTGAGCAAAGGATCAAATCAGCTGCGGCCAGGTTAAAGAGCAGGAAAGCTCCGGGAGTAGATGGCATCCCTGCGGAGGTAATTAAAGTAGTGGTTGAAGAGCAGGTACAGGGAATTAGGGCCTTGTTAAATGGTTTTTACTCGAAAGGAGATTTCCTGGACACTATGAAGACCGCGAAACTGGCGCTGTTCCCCAAACCGGGAAGAGAAGGTGGGGAAGCGTCTGATTTTCGGCCGATATGCCTACTGAATACGTTGGCGAAATTGTATGAAGGTGTGATTGTACATAAACTCAAGGAGGAAATAGACAGATGTGGAGGACTAAGCGAGAGGCAATTCGGCTTTCGAAAAGGGATGTCCACTCTGGATGCTTTGGAAACAGTGTTGGAAACGGTAGCGAGGGTGAACCGCAATAACAACTGGTGTGCGTTAAGTTCTGGTGGACGTTCGAAATGCCTTCAACATGGCCTCTTGGAATCAAATTCTTGTGGCACTGCGAACCATGGGGATAAACGGTCATCTGCTGAGAGTAATCTCAAATTACCTGTGCAGAAGGAAGGTGATAGTGTATAAAGGAGGAACCCGACCAGTGCAGAGGGGAGTGCCACAGGGATCTGTCCTTGGGCCAACGTTGTGGAACGCTATGTACGATAGCGTACTGAGGATAGAAATCCCAAGGGGAAGCGTGTTGGTGGCATACGCAGATGATCTGGCGGCCGTGGTAGAGGGAGATACGAAGGCGGAACTTATGAGAAACGCCAATAATACGCTGAGGAGAATAGAGGAATGGATGGTGCGCCTACAAATGGCTCCGGAAAAGACTGAGGCGGTAGTTCTAACAGGGATGAGAAGAGCAGCGGACGTTGTTTACCGTCTGGGAAATAATGACATTCATCCTGGGAGGATGGTGAAATACCTGGGTGTCACGATCGATAAAGGCATGACGTTTGGCGCACATGTGGAGAGGGTGTGCAAGAAAGCGGAAAAGACGGCGGCTGTCGTAGCTAGAATGATGCCTAATATCGGAGGTCCGAGGTCGAAAAAGAGGCTAGTGTTGGTGGGAGTAGTGGATTCTATTCTTCTATATGCAGCTTCTATGTGGCACAGGGCGACTTTGATGGCGAAACACAGAAACAGGCTGCTAAGCGTGCAGCGAAGAATGGCGCTACGCGTCGCCTGCGCGTATAGGACCGTATCGACGGTGGCATGTACCGTCGTGGCAGGTATAATCCCTATCGATCTCAGGATAGAAGAACGTAAGGAACTTTGGGAGGCCCTCGGACAGGGAATCGAAAAGGAAACTGTCACAGAGGAGTGCAGAGATAGAGTTTTCAGGAAATGGCAACACAGATGGGATAGCGAAAGGGAAAAGGCTCAGTGGACAAAAAGACTTATTACAAACGTCAGAGCATGAGTAAATAGAAGACACGGGGAAGTTACCTATCAGACAACTCAGTTCTTGACAGGGCACGGAAACTTCGGCTCCTATTTAATGAAAATAGGTAAAAGGGATACGGACAGCTGCATATACTGCGGGGACCGAGACACACCGGAACACGCCGTGCTAGGGTGCGGGAGATGGACGGAGAGGAGAAGAAGAGCAGAGGTAGAACTGGAGGTACAGCTATCTACGGAAAATATAATCGGGACTAGTCTGGCTAGCGAGCGGAAGTGGAGGATAACAATCGGGATGATTGGAGACATCATGACAAGGAAAGAGCAGGACCTCAGGGACATAGAACGTGGAAATCCACAATGAACACTATGGAAACGAAACAGACAGGCGTGTTGGGGAATTGCTGCGGAGCTGACGATACATATTGGATAGTATGTAGCATAGGTCCTAGTAGCAGCTTTAATTATTATATTTAACTGCCAAAAATCTTTTAAACCAGGGAAAGTTGTATTAAATGCCGACACTAATACACTGTAAATCCGAAAACCAAAGAACTCCAAACGAGCATGTGATATAATGAAAGCTAAGTTCCATATAAAAAGAACAAATCCTTTTTAGAAGTTCTGCATATTATACTAAAGAAAAGGTAATACAGACTTTATGTCTTAGCCATGATAACGGCCTCAACCCGATTAAACACAAAAAGCATATTGTCTAACCTGTTGTATATAAAAATATCGAAAATACTGAAAAGACGGGATAATTCTTATGTAAGCCTTAATCGATTCGGCAAATACTATTTCGAAATTTATTTTTCAGTATGTGGATTCAGTTAACGAAAACTTTAAACTTTTACAAAACCTAGTAATTTTTCAAGTTTCAAGCTAGTAGTTTATAATACACATGTTTAAAGAAATTAGCTACTGATTATATGAACAAGAAATATGCAAGACATTTAAATTAACCAGAAATTTAAGATATTTACGATATACAGGGTGATTCACAACTTATCCAAAAAAAATTGGGAATAGATGCGGCATGAGGGATGGAGTCAATATTGTAAAAAAAAATTTGTAAAATCCTTATAGTTTCTGAGAAAAAAATTATTAAAGTTGTAGTGCTTTCAACCATTACATAGCTGGACCACTGTAGTCTCTAGCGTCATTCGTAATACGCATGGAGAGCCACGTGGCCTCAGTGACTCAGAACACTGAAATCCGATGTTTACAATAGTTTTTTAGTAGTTAGTGTCAAAAATGGCTTGCGTGTATAACAACTTGGAGTTGATGGATATCGTTTTAGTTTATGATGAAGCAAGAAAACATTTTTATTATGGTGAAGCGTTTGTGTTATGGTGAAACAAGACAGCATTTGTGTTAGTTCATAGAAACTGAGTAAGACGGACCCAAATGTGTTTACACGTAGGTGGACAAAATTTTGAACAGTTGTTGTAACATCAGGTATGTCAAATTATTTTATTATAGTTAAAACCACAAATGAATTTGAACAAAATCAGTTGAGTTTGCTGATATAAAATAAGTGCTATAAAATTCTATTTATTCTTTTCCTTGCGAAATTCTAACAAGTTTTTGCCCGTTTTTATCACTGTCGCTGTGAGGGTCGCATTGCGCCAGGTCAGGTTTTACAGTGGACCAGTTTCCAGTGCCGTGCAGAAGTGTATTTTTAAATAATTTTCGAATTGCCCTTTTTGATTTTTTCTTTACAAAATTGTATTTGTAAAGAGTCCCCTGTACATCCAAAATTTTTTTTAATAAGTTCTGAATCACCCTGTATAGTTAAAATTCTTACTCAGTTCATACTTTTATCTGTAAAAATCCCCATGTTACACCACTTATAAAACATTTTTCTTGAAATTATGATGAAAAACATAAACTTCAAATAATATAGAAAATGCACCTAATCCGATGTCTTTTATAGTTTATTAATTATACAAAACACCTTAATTTCTTTTATTAGTTAAAGGTTTTTTATCTATGTTTTCTTATAATAATGGAATAATTCTAGAACTACGTTTAAATGAAATAACTGTTAACATTTTTTTTGTTGAATAAATTAGATTTGTACATATGACAATAAATATTTACATACTTAAAAAATAAAAAATACCTGTCGTTTTGCTCGTCGAAGAGCATAATGCTTAGTAGACGATGATAGGTACTTCATTTGAATCATCTTGAAAACCGTCTCTTTTATCTAAGAGAAATGATAAAAGTGTGGTTATAGATTACATTAATATAATGCAAATAAATCTATCTATGAGAATATCAACTATACAATACTTAATAACTTCTTTCAACTTACCTTTATTTGTTAATTAGCTAAAGTCACTAGCATTTTTCCACAGCTACTCATTTTCGCAAATTAAGAGGCACACGTAAAAAGGAATAAACAACAAGTACATAACACATGGTCTTTTATCTGTTTTGTGGCACATGGATTGTATGAATATAAATTAGAGGTTAACACTTTTGCCGCGTGCCGCGCTTAACATTGGCAACAACGCAGGGATTTGCAACGACTGCATAATAAAAATGTATATAAGTTGGGCTAAACAAACATTGTATTGTATGTATGGGATACACAACAGTATTTTCTTCCTGGTTAATATAAAACATTTCTAAAGAACATCTCTTAGAATAATATTTTTCTGTTGTTAAATGTTTTACATTAATTTTATATTAACCAGGAAGAAAATACTCTAAATAAAAAAACAGATACAAAAGACATTATAACATTATATTTTCAAACATACTTTCTATAGATAAAAATCTAAATCATAGTACTAGTAATACTAACACTAATATTAATTCTATATAAATATAAAATAATTTTTGTTTTTGTTTTCCAAAATTTATTAATGTCATTTGATGTAAATGTCCAAAATCTGTCAATCTGTATATAAATATCAATAACTCAGTTTCTTGTAAGTAATCCACATTTATATTGTAAATTATTATTATTATATCTATAACTTATAGTGTAACTGAAGAAGCAATAAAATATTGCGAAAGCTTTTACGTAGAAAAAAGAGTTTCATCTAAAAAATAGGCTTTAATCCCACTAATAAGAAGATTTTAATTATATATACAAAAGCCACGAATATCTTTTCTATATATATATATATACTTGTTTTCGTCCTCTAGGCGACTAGTAGTGCAACAAAGTGCCTGGAAACAGGTCGCTTCCTACCGTAGTAGCCATTGAATGGCTTAGTAGGAAGTCAGCAAGACAGATGGAGCCATTGGTGCTCCGCATAATTTGTACCTCTTTATCATGAGTATACGACACTAGAACAGCTGGATCGGTCGGCGGTTGTCTCACCTATGGCACACTGATGAGGACTAATAAGTCCGAAACCGGTCTGTGTCTGGTGGGTTAAACTGACGAGCAATCCTAGCTGTTTTATACTAGGTAACACTTGTTTTCGCCCTCTAGGCGACTAGTCGTGCAACAAAGTGCCTGGAAACAGGTCACTTCCTAGCGTAGTAACCATTGAATGACTTAGTAGGAAGTCAGCACGACAGATAGAGCCATTGGTGCTCCGCGTACTTTGTACCTCTTTATCGTGAGTATACGACACTAGAACAGCTGGATCGGTCGTCGGTTGTCTCACCTATGGCACACTGATGAGGACTAATAAGTCCCAAACCAGTCTGTGTGATGACGAGCGATCCTAGCTGTTTTCTACTAGGTAACATTTGTTTTCGCTCTCTAGGCGACTAGTCGTGCAACAAAGTGCCTGGAAATAGGTCGCTTCCTACCGTAGTAGCCACTGAATGGCTTAGTAGAAAGTCAGCACGACAGATGGAGCATATACATATACATAA